CAGAGGGAGAAGCAGACTCCCTGCCGAGCAGGGAGCCCGACGCGGGACTCGATCCCGGGACTCCAGGATCACGACCTGAGCCGAAGGCAGTCGCTTAACCAACTGAGCCACCCAGCCACCCTCTCATAAGTTATTTTTATATCTGTTATATCAGAATCATTTCAGAGGACAAAATCTTAAATTAACTTTCTCATAGACAGTGGACAATTTCAACAGTTGTGAGGTGTGTCAAAGTAACTTAATAGTGATAATATCTCAGTGTTCATTGATAGGCCTTTGAAAGAAATTTCAGTTGAATTCCAGGTAGTATTTATGAAGTTACTGTTACATATTTATATTGATACACTTTTTTGGATGGGAAAGTAGTGGCAGCATAGTTCTGAGAGAGTAACAGAAAAAAAAAGGTTAAATACTTTACTCCAGGGGACTTAGGATAAGAATGCCTCTCTCTATTAAGTGAATTATCAGCCCTTAGAATGGTTTTCACCCTTATAAGGGGGAGTACTAGTTGCCCTGACTGGATTTAATTTTAAAATTTTGCTTAATTCTATACATTCTAAAGGTCTGTCCAACACTTAAAAAATCACAGCTAAACCAGAGTGAAAATCTATTCTCAGACATGTTTTTGGCCTAAGAAACCCATTTCAAAATAAATCCTTAAAATATCTTATTTTTTACATTGGCTAGTAACAAAGTTGGGTTTTTTTTTTCTTTAAATAGAATTTGGTGCCTTCATTTTTGGCAAATTACTAAATGATTAGTATTCAAAACAAACGAGATTTAATTGCAGTAATTCTGGAAAAAAATACAGGAACTCACTGTTTCTAAATTAAAATTCTGAACAGGAAGGTGATTTTATTGGGTAAAATTTGGACATTAGAGTACAAAGAAAAGAGGCACCTGTTATCCCACCATTAAGAAATCATAGTAAGTAAGGATTTTGTTTTGATTCTTTTTCAAAACGAGCAAGACAAAACAAAACAAACATTTAGATCATGCCATTGGTATAATCTTGAATCATTATTTTCTTTCTCAGTTTGAGTATTTTAATAAAAGTACAAAATTTAATTGCTGAATTGGATCCCATCGTATAGATAGGTATACTATAGTTCCTCTATTATTTGGCATACCTTCCAGGTTTGTTTAATCTTTGCATATAAATTTTTGGATACATCAGCTGCTTAAAATAAAGTTGGCTGTAAATGATCAATTCGTGTGTGCGGAGTTTATAATTCAGATTTTTGAGGAAATGATGGTATTTTTAAATTGTGCCAGAGGATCTGACTCTTAAAAATTATCCCCATCCTACCCATCTCCTCCCCCCCGAAAAATCCTGCAGTTTTATAACAAATATTTTAAAATGAAATTACCAGCAAATCTTTGTCTTGATAAAATCGGATTTGAGATTTTTATGTTATCTGGAATGGGCACATCGGTTTTTCATTTATTTAAAACTATTTGATTTTAATCTTTCAGAGTCTTTTTTTCCCCTGCTCGTCAGAGGATATTTCGCTCCTGATTATGATCTTTTGTCTTCCAGAGTAACAGCTATCCACCAATGTCAGATCCATACATGCCTAGTTACTATGCTCCATCCATCGGATTTCCATATTCTCTTGGGGAAGCAGCATGGTCCACGGCTGGAGACCAACCTATGCCGTATCTGACAACCTATGGACAAATGAGTAATGGAGAACATCATTATATACCAGATGGTGTGTTTAGTCAACCTGGGGCATTAGGAAATACCCCTCCATTTCTTGGTCAACATGGATTTAACTTTTTTCCTGGTAATGCTGATTTCTCTACATGGGGGACAAGTGGATCTCAGGGACAATCAACACAAAGTTCTGCTTATAGTAGCAGTTATGGCTATCCACCTAGTTCTCTTGGGAGAGCTATTACAGACGGACAGGCTGGATTTGGCAATGATACTTTGAGTAAGGTGCCTGGCATTAGTAGTATTGAGCAAGGCATGACCGGACTGAAAATTGGTGGTGACCTGACAGCTGCAGTGACAAAAACTGTAGGCACAGCCTTGAGCAGCAGTGGTATGACTAGCATTGCAACCAACAGTGTGCCCCCAGTTAGCAGCGCAGCGCCTAAACCAACCTCCTGGGCTGCCATTGCCAGAAAGCCTGCCAAACCTCAACCGAAACTTAAACCCAAGGGCAATGTGGGAATTGGGGGTTCTGCTGTGCCACCACCTCCTATAAAACACAACATGAATATTGGAACTTGGGATGAAAAGGGGTCAGTGGTAAAGGCTCCACCAACCCAACCAGTTCTGCCTCCTCAAACTATAATCCAGCAGCCTCAGCCATTAATTCAACCACCACCATTGGTGCAAAGCCAACTGCCTCAACAGCAGCCTCAGCCACCACAACCACAGCAGCAACAAGGACCTCAGCCACAGGCCCAGCCTCACCAAGTGCAGCCCCAGCAGCAGCAGCTGCAGAATCGCTGGGTAGCTCCTCGGAATAGGGGAGCTGGATTCAACCAGAACAATGGAGTGGGCGGTGAAAACTTTGGTTTAGGTGTTGTTCCTGTCAGTGCTTCACCTTCTAGCGTAGAAGTGCATCCAGTGCTGGAAAAGCTAAAGGCCATAAACAATTATAATCCCAAAGACTTTGACTGGAACCTGAAGAATGGACGTGTGTTTATAATTAAAAGCTATTCTGAGGATGACATACACCGTTCAATTAAGTACTCTATCTGGTGTAGTACTGAGCATGGTAATAAGCGTTTGGATGCAGCTTACCGTTCCCTGAATGGGAAAGGCCCACTGTATTTACTCTTCAGTGTGAATGGCAGTGGACATTTTTGTGGAGTGGCTGAAATGAAGTCTGTTGTGGACTATAATGCATATGCTGGTGTCTGGTCTCAGGATAAGTGGAAGGGCAAATTTGAAGTTAAATGGATCTTTGTCAAAGATGTTCCCAATAACCAATTACGGCATATTCGCTTAGAAAATAATGACAACAAACCAGTCACCAATTCAAGGGACACTCAAGAGGTACCCCTAGAAAAAGCTAAGCAAGTGCTTAAAATAATTGCTACTTTCAAGCATACCACCTCAATCTTTGATGACTTTGCACATTATGAAAAGCGTCAAGAAGAGGAGGAAGCCATGCGTAGGGTAAGAGTACAGTAATTTTTCTGTGTAGGGTCTTTTTATTGGGGTGGTGTGTATGGATGGGTGTTCTTTAATGCCTTTTAATATTACATTCTGAGTTTAGGAGCTTTACTCTGAAGGAAACCAGCTACTTAGCTTAAGAAACAGAGCCCTGCAAACTCCCTTCAGGGCCTCTCATGGCACATGGGCATCATTTTCTCTTCCCAAGGGTCATCCTGACTCTGAATTTGCCTGTTCTTCATACTCCGGGGATAAAGGTCATTGAGTTGTGTTCATCAGAGTTCCATAAATTGTGCATTTATAACTAAGCAGACTTAGGAACTGGTGAGGGACTCTAGTACTAATTCTATTTTATTAACTTTATGCAAAAATGTATTAGGAGTTTGAAACAGCTTTTGTAAATAAATGTTTGACTATTTCATATTTATGAGAAGTAAAATAGACTTTTTCCCTGAAACTCTTTCCTGAGTCATTTTTGTAATTTGTACACTTAGAGCACTTGTACAAAGTATAGTAAGGATTTGACTTTAGGAAGGCAGCTTAGAGTTGGGAAGGCATGGACTTTTCGATTTTGACTGCAGAATTTCATTTCTTACTCCGTTATTGACCCTCTGTGGGACTCTTAAGGGAGACTTCCCTGAAGTTATGCACTGTTTTTGCTTGCATCATATAAGCCAGAATTTGATCACAGGGCACACAGAGCAGGACAGGTTGGGGAATGTTTTCTGTTTCAAACCACAAAAGAAAATTGGGTCCTATTTTTGGAAAAGAAAGAATGGAAGGAGTAGACAACTAGCAGACTTTTCCATAGGTAGTACACTTAAATTTCTTTTCAAATGCAGCAGGGATAAAGTTAGAAGCTTTTCTAATAAATTATGTTGGTTACTATCGAAAGCTCTTATGTAGAAATTAAGGTAAAGTGGGAACTTAACTCTGTAAAATGTCAACAATTTGTTTCTATGTGTGAACTTGCATGTCTTGTGGCTTCTTGGTCTGTGCAGACAAGGGAATTATTTTGGTGAACATTCCTCACTGGTGAATAATAATTGAAATAATGATTCTAGAGCAGTCGTTTGTAAACCTTGGGGCACTTAAACTATTGAGGTGCTTCTTGGAAGTGCAGGTTTTTGAGACCCACTGAAGGAAAATCTTATATACGGATGGCCCTCGAACAATGTACAGGTTAGGGGTGCCAAACTCCTAATTTGGAATTTGTATATAACTTTTGGCTCACCCAGAACTTAACTACTAATAGCCTACTGTTTATAGGAAGCCTTGCTGATAACACAGTTGATTACCACATATTTTGTATGTTACATGAATTGTATACTATAGTCTTAAAGTAAGCTAGAGAAAAAATGGTATTAAGAAAATCATCAGGAAGAGAAAGTACTGTATTTGACAGTATTTGACTGTTTGACAGAAAAAATCTGTATATAAGCGGACCCACACAGTTCACACCCATGTTGTTCAAGGGTCAACTGTAATTTGATAAGGGACCTGGTGGTGTACATTTTTAATGAGCTAACCTTAGTTGATTCTGGTGCTAGTGATTCCAGTCAAATGTGGGAGAATGACGGAAAAGGGATCGAAAGTAGCTCCTGAATTTTGAGCTCAGCAGTTGAGTAAATGGTCATATTGTAACTGCCATTACGAATAGTGGATCAGGAGAATGGATTTGGGGTATGAAAAGTGGGGTACAGGTTTTCCTTTTAGGATGTGCTGACTGTAAGATGCTTTGGAGAAATACAGACAGTGAAATCTCTGATTAAGCAGTTAGAGGTGGGAGTCAGATTTGGGAGCTTTCTGTTCTTAAATAGTTGATTCTGTGAAAGTGGGATGAGATTGCTCAGGGAAAAAAGATGCATGGCAAGGAACTATTTCTCAACTTTTTTCTTCCCTCCCACTACTAAGGAGAGGTCACCCTTGTATGTCTTCCACATTTCTTCCCTACCCAGTCTGAAAATTTTAGTCCTAGTTTTATTATTTTTTTATTATGTAATTATCTCAGGAATTATTTATGACAGTTACATATGGTTTTACAATCACATACCATAGTGATTTAAAGTTAATAATTTTTAAACCTCAAAATTGTACATTCAAATTGTTTCATGGTTTACTGCCAGTCTTTTGATGATGACCCACCTTTGACATGTTTATTTTGAATCCTTTTTTTTAATCTTCTGTAACTTATTTTTTTTTTTTTAGGAAGAGTAATTTGGTATATATATTTATTTATATATAATATAAATATTTATAATAAATGTATTAAGTCCTTCTAGATTCAGAAAATGTCTTTCTTTGACCATGATATGTGAACAGTAAGTTTACCTGGATATAAAATTCTTAGGTCACAGGCTTTTTATTCAGGCTTAAACCTACGGTTTTATATTTATATTACATTATTTATAGTTTTATATCATGGAGAAGTCTGAGGCCAGCCTAAATTTTCTTTCTTTGGAAATAGCTTTTTCTGTTTGTGTACAAAAAGATTATTCTTGGAATAGGAATATGTATGTGGAATGTGTTTAATATGGACCTCTATTATAATTTTCCTTAATCTGTCTATAGGCCGAATTTTTAATTTGTATTTTCCTTTTTCTGGTTATGTCGAAAAATACAGTGCATCTTTGTCCTTGGGTGCTATTGGTTCTTTATCATTTTTCTCTGCATTTGGAGACTTTAAAATTTGAATTTCCATGTCATTAATTTGGTTTGCTTTGTGTTGATTTTGTGATTTGTCAAGTTTTGAATTCTTCAGTGACAATATTAGTTTGCTTACATTATTACATCTAGCTACCACTTACATCTGTTGATTGTTTTTTTTTTGATCCAGAATCCATCTTGTTTATTGAGCACAAAGCTGACTGTTTAAAGCTTATTTCTGCTTCCTGTAATTACCATTTTTGAAACTTCTTCCTCTTTCATATGCTTTTTAACTTGTTTCTTTTTTAAAATTTACATACAGTAAAATTGTAAATTCCCTTTTGTTGCCTCTTTGTAGTCAAATGCTTCCTTCCCCCTTTGATTAATCTGTTCTTTGACTCTATAAGGCATTTTCCATAATGTCATATAAACAGAATTACACAATGTGTAATCTTTTAAAACTGGCTTCTTTCACTCGGCATGATATCTTTGCAATGTATTAATATTGTTTTATATATCAGTTCTTTGTTCCTTTTAATTACTAAGCATCATTCCATTGTGTGGATTTACTACAGTTCATCCATCCAACCTTTGAAGGACTTCTGGGTTGTTTCCAGTTTTTGGAGAATGTAAATGAAACGCCTATAAATTCGTGTACATATCCTTTTTAAAAGTTTTTTTTTGTTAAGTCATGCAGTATAATTCACTTTTTTGGAGTGGGCAGTTAATGAATTTTAACACATTTGTAGATGACCACCACAATTAGGATTCAGAGTAGTTTCATCATCCCTGGAAAATTGTCTTGTACTATACCTTTGTATTTGCATTCTTCCCCAATGTCTAACTTCTGGCAGCCATGATTTGGACTCAATATAGTTTTTTTTTTTTTTAATTGAAGTATAGTTGACCTGCAGTGTTAGTTTCAGGTGTACAGCTTAGTGATTTGACACTTAAAATACGTTACAAAATGTTCACCACAGTAAGTATAGTTACTGTCACCATACAAAGTTACTACAGTAATTAACAGTATTGGCTATTTCCTGTTCTGTACATTTGATCTCTGACATTTTATAACTGGAAGTTTGTACCTCTTAATCCTCTTCACCTGTTTTACCCATCCTCACCCCCCCAACCCTCCACTCCCTCACTCCTGTACCGTTCTCTGTATTTATGAGCCTGTTTCTGTTTTGTTGTTTTTTAGGTTCCACATATAAGTGAGTGAAATCATATGGTATTTGTCTTTCAATTCACTTACTATAATACCTTCTAGGTTCAGGGGCGCCTGGGTGGCTCAGTCGTTAAGCGTCTGCCTTCAGCTCAGGTCGTGATCCCAGGACCCTGGGATCGAGCCCCACATCGGGCTCCCTGCTCTGTGGGGAAGCCTGCTTCTCCCTCTCCT